AAGGAAACATCGACAGGAGCCCTCAGGGTTCAACGAGATTCTCGATTCACGGCTCGTGCGAGCCCTCCGAAGACATTTCTCATTCGTGAATCTATGATTTCTTTCAATGACGGTGCCGATACCAGGAACCTACTCCAAAAATACCATCTCCGGATCGAATGCTCTCTTAACCGTATGGGATACGAGATGTTTTCGACCAACCCCCGACGATATTAAAGCTGATGGAAGAATTTATTCGAAATGGAAACGATCCAAGTTGGAATTGTATTGGGGAAAACTACGAAAGACGAATGTATCCAGGAAAATTGTTTTGGATTCTTGAAATGGAAAATCGAAGCAGGGAATGTCTTGAAATTCCATCTGAACTCCTGCAAGAGTTTTAAATTAAAAAAAAGCAATATTTATCGGTTTGCATAACCCGAAACGACGGTTCAGAGTTCCGGTTCGCAACCCTTTCGACGGCCATTAACCGGGCGGACCCTCCTCCTTGACATCGGGCTAACTCGAAACTATCTCGCGAATAACAATCGAACGAGGCGAATGTTTGACGGTTTCCTGCGGGATTACGACATCCTGACGACGCGGCGGTCGCTCGTAAAAGCAGCAGATATGACGATTTGTTCGGCATATACCGAAAGTGGGTGGACACAACATAAGGGAGACGCAACCTGCTGCCCCGGGGCAGCTATGTAAAGCACACGTGGCTCTTGGCAACGAGGACTCGTTGAATTATCCGAGTTAGCAGAAATCGCCGGAAGCCCGGACAGACTTAAGGCATCGGCTAACTCGCTGCATACTTGGGCAAACTCGTTCGTCTCGACGGCTTGGAATAATTAATAACGATGCCTTCCGGGCCAAGTAGCGCGCCTTTGCCCCGGTATCGCGCGCGCCTTCGAGTGGATGTGCAAGTTTTATGGTTTTCGAGAAATCTCCATGCCCGTCCGGATCCGGTGTCGCGTTAGGTAGGTTACGATACCCCTGGGGACTCGTACGACGACAGAACCGAGCATCCTTTCAATACCAGAAGAAAGATGATTACTTCAGGATTCTTCTTTCACTGAAATACAATAACGCGTCTTTGCTGACATCCGATCTATTAGCTTTTAAAATATCGATGCTTTCGCGCGTCGCATGCAAGATTATTCGGCTGACGGCGAACGCATTATAGATTTGGATCATAAATAGGATCAGGAGTTGCATCAGCGTGTGCCACGAATGACTGATCGAGATCTAGAACCAGTTCCAGCCTGATCTACGACGTTCCGTGCAAGAACGGTCGAGGAATAATGGGAAAGATTCCACAATACGATGTTGGTATCTCGCGATAGAATTACCCCGCCTCGAAGCCGTTGTAACACTTTCACGAGCGACTTTTTAATGCAACGAATGATAGGAGAGGCACTAGACGCGATAATGTTAGACCCAACCGAGTCCTGACCCTGCGCATTGCGAGAAAGCAGGCTGCACAAGGCGAGAAAATGACCCACGCGCGATTCAGCGTAAACGGCCCGAGCACGTGCAAGCACAATAATCCACGATCGTCGAGAAAATTAGCGCACTTTGGCTTTCACCACTTCGAACGGTCGTTTAACCAGCCGGATAAGCGGCCCAGTAAATAGATGTCCTATCAGATTATGTGTCACGGGAGCGTGACACGCGAACATGTTTTGAATTAACACGTTACAGGCTCAACAAACCGGGAGTCCGGTTGACTGGCATTGATCGAAAACTTGGATCGGAAAGATAAGAGAAGCACGCAGTACGGTTAACACGTATTCTTACCAGAGACACCCGACGTAAAACTCGAACATCCGACTGTTGCCGTTTACGTTTGTTAATTCCCTGGTATTATGCAGTCGAGATTATCGGGCTGTTTTGACTTGCAAACGGCTACAAAACCGTGTCCTTTAACACCCTCTCGACGAACATAGAATTTGATAAAAGTGCCGCCGAGGACCCAGTACAAAGAGTAATCGAAATTTATAGAATTTAACTCGGAGCCGGAGTTGCTGGCCTCGTTTCTCTTTCTTCTTTTTTAAGCTTCGTATCGTGTCGCGATAAATAAATGTACCAGGTGTAAGTAGCAGCTAATACATCACTGCGTGTAATAATCCATCAAGCGTACATAAAACGTGCGAGACAGGTTTATTGTCACGCGACCTGCAGAAGCGTCGCGCCTGATGTTCGTGACGAGATTGTTCGCAATTTTGTGAATGAATTATGAAATAATTTATGGAAAAAAGAACGGCATTATCTCCGGGATGCAAAAGTTCGCCGAGCAATTGGTGTCATAGCAATTTCAACTTTCTTTAGTCTCGATAAAAAGTTCTACCGTCGGACATATGGTTCGCCGATGAGTTTCCCCGTGTCTCCAAAAAACCATTATGGACGATGTAATGACACAACTACGTAATGACCGTGTTTATAAAACCTTCCAAGGATCAAATTTACCATGGAATTAGAATAAATCTATTAGGTTCTTAGTGGCAAATCGTACACTGATTGATACCGCAAAGAAACGTGGTAAATTAGAATCCATATTTTAAAATCAACGTCCAAATTTAGTACTTTCTAAAAAAGTATGTTTGAGAAGAGTCGCGGAGGGCTACGACGAGGGAATGGTAAAATAGGCAGGCGAATGTCCGCGAATGGAAAATAATATTGTACGACGGCTCCATTGTTACGATCGTATAATGATTTGGACGCATGCATAATGCAATCTGCGTCGCAGAATCGTGCGATTTATCGAGGAACGTATTCATTAAACAGAAAAACAGGCACAAGTGTCGCTCGACCTCGTTACGCCCGTGCAATTATGTTGGATCCTCTTGCATTCTTGAAAATGTAGGAAATTGAAGGAAGGAAGAGGACAGGGGGAGGGGTTAGGCACATCCATTAAATTCATCTTCGTCCCCGTAAAAAGGTCTTGTCTCCCTCGATACAATTCTCATCGAAGCGTGCAGCCGTTCGCAGTCACGGCCCGTTGAATTTCAAGTTTCAGTTCTAAAAGAAGAGAGGAAGTGACCTGTTTTTTATGCCGAATCGGACTTTCTCACGCAAACCCTTAATTAATAACTCGCGAAAATGTAGCGCGCGGAAATGCAAAGAGAAAAATAATGTTACTCCTGTACTGGGTGAAATTAAATTTAACCGCTTCGGTGGTTCCATTCTGCAATGTTAATGTGCCCGAATACTCCTTAAATTTTATGGTTGCTTTAACAACTCCTCCGTCAAAGGTTGCTACTGCCTACATTGTATTATACAACGTTGCTTCGATGGATTCATGGAATAATAAACATAAATGTTTATACAGTATTCTTGGATGCCAGTTTTTACTGACACGTTCGGGAACACAGGAGGAGCGGATCATGCGACCTTCCAACAGGGTGCTAGGGTTGAAATCGTACAGAGCGAGGGTAAGTGACCTTGAGCAGTCAATATTTTCTACCCCAAGTGGCGCTCTCCGTGTGTTGACTGCGCATCAATTATACTCGGTGGAAGGAACGTAGCAAGGTATTCGAGGCACACTCAAGTGGCACGGAATGCGATAACATGAGGGTACAAACCACCAAATGTGTTTCTCGCCACACAGTGACGCACAGACCCGCAACCACGTTGATATACGCAGGCTGTTAACGGGCCAAGGTGCAAGAAGCGTACACAATTCGTACCTGGGATCTTGACTCCCCGTATCCAAGCACGCTATTCCCTCCGCTGTTTCTACAACCTTACTATACAATAGAACCTCGATACTGCCGGAAAAGTGGGCTGAAATGTCCTGCAGTGGTCGAGGCTCGTGCAATAATTGAGGTAACCAAACCAATGAAGGAACTCGAAAGTTATACCTCCATTGTCCATAGTCGCTGTTACTTCCCCCAACTTCCCCTCCTCCTACAAGAGTTTCAACTATCGAGGTTCCACTCTATTCCTCAATAGACAAAAGTTTTGCACAATTTGCTTTAGACCTCCTCGCTACAACATATGTAGCACCCTTTCCCTTAATGTTTCGAGGGACCAAACGCTTGCCCTCGGGTCAGCATAATTGTGGAAACGCACATTTCGCAGTATACAACGGTCGATGGTCGTCCTGTCGAAAGAATAATAGTCGAAGGTAAGCGCGGAGAGTCGCATAGCGGAGAAAACGGGGGCAGATGATAGGCCTCCTCTCGCCTGGCTCCTCTCGAGTTAAGTGGTTAGCTCGGGAAGCGGTTTCGATTAGCCAGCTCGTTGAACCCGTGGCTCGTCGAGCGACGCCGACGATCGGCGTCGTGCAAGAGGCCCCGCGAGGATTCCGACCGGAGGATCCTTCTTTCTCCACCCTCCCCAGCCGCCCGACACTTTATATTGCGTTTGTCTGCTCGTGATCTATGACGGCGTGAATTCGTTCGATGGTGAAATTGGAGGCAATTGTTTCGTCGAGAGGACCGCGGGGATGATCGTCGCTTTATTCTTCGACGATTCGATACCAGCTTCGATCGTTCTCTACCCTCCGCCTTGCTCCACATTAAATTTTGTTACCTCGATACTTAGGCGATCGAAGGGACCACCGATGCGAATATTAATTATTATGCATTATATAAAAGTTATACTATATCCGGAGCAGATTTTTCCCACCGAATATTATTGAATCCGCCACATTACTGTTTCAGTATCGGTAAAATATTAATGTATCTGTTCCTGCATCGATACAATATTAATATCCTGCGACTATATCCATTCGATGTGATCATAAATGCATTTGCCCGGATGGATAAAAATAACTGGTAATATTTATTCTCGTGAAAAGACATTTCCGATGTTCCCATACTGCTCAGGCGGAAGTAACGATTATTCGTGCAAAGTTTCGTATCGAAGCCCCCGAGCCTCCTGAACCACTACTTTCAATATGTCACAAGTTTGGAATTCCGGGTAAACTTGTTCCGGACGTTTGTCCCAAATCCATCAAAGTATTAAAGCGTAATGTTTTCGTTCGACGTTAACCGCGTTCTCGTTTGTTTCAGAACCCGGCGGGCCGTGACGAAGGAAAGCGCGACAAGAGGTGGAAATTCAAAGACGGGAAGCCAAGGAGGCAGGTGCAACGCTGTCGAGGGTGAGTGTGGCGTAGCGTGGATTTTAAGAATTTCAGACCCGGCGGGAGAACGGTATCCACCGAAGAAGGATGCCTAACAAACTCAAACGGAATTTCGCTTATGACATACTTTCCCGTCGAAAGAACGTGTTTGCCGACGGCTTACGCCCCCGCGTCTTCCGCGTCCGTCTTTGGTAAACACGTCCTCCAGAATCCGCCTATGCAGTTCCCCCGTTGCACCGTTCGCGGATGCACGACGGATGGTGCTTAACCGATTTTACGAACGAATTCGCGACCGTTCCACGTGCATCGTAAACAACCTTGCCAGGCGAATCCGTGATGCGTTCAAAGGGTTACCGGGGTAGAAAACATCCTGTAGACCTCTGTTCGTCGCTGAATGGAACACAGACCTCGTATTGAATCGAAGGATTAGAACAGTCGGAAATGGTTTGCATGTCGCTGCTCCTCTATGAATCGAAAGACAGGAAGAAGCGAATGGAAACTGAAGTGGGCAAACACTGGTGCACGGTTCTGAGGCATGTATCGATCAGGAAGCATCGTTCTATAACGGTGACTAGTTTCTCTGATTATTACCGTATGAATTCATCGATAATTGTTTAAAAGATCATTGAGAACTTACCGTTACAAGATGATGATATGCTTGGTACTCCAACGAAATTAATAGAGTGCACGTCCGAACGAAGCTGCCGAAGTTCCCGAGAAAGCGTTTCCAAGTTTTACGGCGACGATACTCTCTCGGTTCTCGTCCGACGTTAGTCCGTTTAAAGAGAAGCGTATCTCGCACAGTGGCTAGAAACTCGAGGCACGTTCTAATCGCGAATCGAATCGGAAAATGAACAGCTAGGAGTCCGGTCCCGTGCACGGTCGGTCGTGCACGGCGCCAGGCTTGCAACGGAAGCGGTTCCTGAATCATTGAAATCAGGCAGTCAGGCAGGCAGAATGCGATCCGCTGCATCTGCGTCTATCCGCGGCGGAGGAGCGTTGAACGCGATACGAATGGTTCTCGTGTCGTCTTTATTCCGGTGGCTGGGTCGGTCGACAGGCTGTATCTCAGTCTCCGCATCTAATAATAAACGGGTCGAGCATTGTTGGAAAATGGGTCGGACGCTACGGCATCTGCCGATGTATCGAGCGTTTGTACGTGTGCATGCACGATGCACAGCTACTTTCCCGCTGGCGCTGCCGCTTGCATAATGCCGCCCCCATCCTCGAGCTGTCCGAAGCCTGACACGTGGCAGACCGAATGAATGCTCTCAGGAATCGGCACAGTTTCGAACTTCGAGCACTCGCCGAAGACGTCCTTCTCCATGCCTTTCACAGACGCCCGGCGGACGTACTCGTTGGTGTCGCTTGGGGAAACGGAACGACGACGTTTCGAACGTTTCGATCAACCCCCGGCGAAAATTTTCTTTATCGGATACGGTTACAAGATAACTGGAAAATCGATCGAGGCTGTTGCGTCGCAAGGGTTTCGATCGATTACTTGGAATTCCACTGCACCCCTCCAGAGGAATCGATTCTCTTCGATAAATTTTCTCTAATTTCAAAAGGTCAAATTTTGCGATTCCTCGTTACGCTTTTATCGGACTAGAAATTGTCTGGACAGTTTGCAGTTCGTTCTCCGACGCTTATCAGTCTTCGAGCGGAATTACGTCGGCCATGACGATCGGTCGCCACTCGGTCTGAGCGTCGCCGAACGAGAAAACGAGGCGAAGCTAACCGTTTCGCTCGAAACCCACAAATCCAACTGTCGCGTAGGCGACACGATAAATTTCCGCGAGGTGCGCGGCTAAAGATCGACCGGCTGCCCTGATAATATAGGTGCGAAGGACCGCAAATCCAACTCCGGGCGAAACTGGGGCGATAAATTCACGTTTGTCTGTCGTATAAGAGACAATCAGTCGCGGGACACGGTGAAATAGGACCGCGGAAAGCTCTTTCAGCCTTTGAGGCAGTTTAATAACTTTGGTATTCTCAATTACGGAGAAAGCAATGACCGGACTGACGCCTGGAACCCAACGCGAGAGACAAATGCCGGACGATAACTTTTCCGTGGTGTGTTTGGTCCGCCGGAAGTTTGCAACGTTTCTGCTCATAGTTTATAGGATGTTTTGTAACGCTGGGTACTTACCTAGACATAGGATATAAAAGCAATGAAAAGGGTTCGTGAGGGTTTCCCGATGAAAAGGGTAATGGCCGTGAGTTTCGATCAGGGTTTATAGTTTCCGAAATAATAACCACGTGTTCTGTTGCGTCCTGTAGAAGGCCACGAAACGATAGATCCACCGCGAACTCCATCTGTTTGGTACTTCTTACGGTGGACCTATTTTTGGACCGTAGGAAAGAACCGGCATAAGAGTCACGACGATTCTCGCGAACCACACCTAGGGGAACCCCCGAAAGTCCGAAGTAAACGGCACATCTGTTACAAACTCTCGACCCGTTTCCTTGACTTAAATTTCGCCGGTGGAACGGTGGTAAGAATTTGAAACTCTGCCCAGTCTCGCGGACTCTGGCCTCGTTCGTCACCGCACGAGTTAGGTGAAATACCCAGTTGGTCAGAAGTCCAGGTGTCTCTGACCACGACCGGGAATCACGACGGGCAAGAAAATTGCTTTTTGGTTCGCTTTCGAACTAACACCGACGTACAACTATACGCCGGAGAAACGGAGAGTGTAGCAAAAACGCGTCGAGGCACCGTGTCTTATGTGTCGGATATCAAAGAAATATGTCTGTTTGAATGGACGACTACTCTCCGTTAATGAAGTCGAACAAAATTGTAACGATTTAAATAGTTGCCCGCGGATGCTGTTTCGTGTGCAACGACCGGATAGTAAATTCTTTGGTCAGGAGCGGTATTGCGAAGTTGGTGGAACGTCAGAAGCGAATGAGATTCCAGCAAACGCGATTCCGGTGTTCATACAGCGGTTATAAATAGCGCGGAATAAGTAGCGCGAAATGTAGAGGCGAACTTTCCAAACTTGGACGGGAGAAATTTATTTTCTCGTTTTATCCGGGTTGTTCGGTTAGCCGCACCGGGGACGACCAAAGCAATTTCATCTCAGGTAACACAAACTGATATAGAGGAAGCTTTGTTCCCCGGTGAGCTGCGATACCGTCTGTCCTATGCCACGGGAACCTCTTCCCTTCCTTCTGCCGGCATCCCGAAACTGCCGCTGTCTGTTTCAACTTCCAAGCTCTCTCCAGTTCGGGATTAACAACGACGCGACCGCTAATGAAACAGGCTGTGGTCAGATTAAGCTGCTCTTCGCGCGGTTAACGACACACCTTCGGGGGTGGTCTCGTGTGTCTTCCTGCTCTTTCCTCTTCTCCCCATTTTCGTCATTTTCCTTCCATCGAAGCCTTCCCATCCACCCGTTTCTCAACTTTTTCGTACACTGCACAGGCAGGGCAAACGTGACATAAAAAGTATCGCAAAATTATAAGAGCGTCACTTTGTACGTATCAAGTATTTACGATCATTGGCATTAGACTCTAACAAGCGAATAAAAAATATGAGAATTGAAAATTCCATGGCTCGTATTAGAAAACTCTATACTAAAAGCACCATCCAGTTGTTAGTACGAGCACACAACAGCACGACCCGAAGGTATTGATCGGCACTTGACACAAATATGAAATTCCCGTTGCTCGAAGCGTGCTCGGTGCATCCATCGGGACCCCGGTAAAAAAGCACGAAACTATTTACGGCGAACAAGACGCATACTCGGTCGTCGTAAAGGCAACAACGTTATACCCCGATACAAAGTGCATCCGCGCGAGTAACGGACCGACGTACGCCATATCTCTTTCTGTCTAGTTCCTCGCTCATCATCGTTCCCTTAATTAAGCGCTATAGACACGGGAAGGATGCTCGCACGCAAAACCAGCACGGCTATTTCCCTTTGATCTTGCGGTGTAATTGAATTTTTTATCTCGCGGCGGCCATTTTATCGTTTTAAATATCACAGGTGCGCCGGGCACACGTCCGTTGGCCTATCGCGGCCGCGCTGTACACGACTTGCTTCTTGCCTTCTGATTTAATCCGGCCCCGGGACCGGAATTACCGTACTATTTTACAGCTCGCAGAGGGTTACGGCGAATAGGAAGTGCGTCCTCCGCCTAGGATATACCTCGGCCACTTTGTAGGTGAACACCCTACCACCACAGCCGCGATGAAACACGAGTCGCGGTGAATTACAACGTTGTCCCGCATAGAAGCCGCCTCGTGATACATATTGGTCCACGGCCAAGGCGGTTCCCAGCAGCCTCCGAGCGACCAAGAGTTACGACAACCATGGGAGGGAATCCCCTGGAGGAAGGGACTCGGTCTTCTATTCCTACTGCAGAATTTCAAAGGGCCCGGAAGTCTGGAAGGGAAATAAATGACCGATCGAAACACGCTGGGATTTGCCACGTTACGACATCTCGCCTGGAACGTTTCAGAATTTTGGACGATGCGCGTAAAAATAGACGTTTACAAAGAGACGAGGTGCAAAGTGTCGAGGTATCAACCGGAAGAGTTACGGTGGCGTTACACCGAAAAATTGAAAAGGATTATAGTCGCCATTTTACGTCGCGTGCTCCAGAACGTCGAGCGTCGAACGAACCCCGTGTAATTTGGAAGGCATACTGCAAGAACGTTTGCAATTCATGACGTCCCGTGTTCTAGCATTCGGTCCATAAAGTGCTCGCGCATACAGCGACTGTTTATTCTCTGGGACGCCAGGAGACACCATTTCCATCTGTGTCGCGTTCAAACGACGCAGAATGGGATACTAATTCGAGCAGCGTCGCACAGCGACTGGATAGAAGGTGCATTTTGCCGAGAAGTTAACACTTTCGTATCCGTGTATGCTAAATTTGACCGCGAACGTGGGGAAATTATTAAAATCTAATAAAAATGGTATCATTCTTTCGTGTTAAAAATATAATGCTGCGAGGGTTGCTAGTTTGGCGTATCCTTGGGCGAACCAACTCCTCTCTGGAAACATTTCCTG